CGGCTGCACCGCTGAAGATTCAGCCGGAGCCTGTGTATCAGGATCTAGAAGCGGCATGATCGTTGTTGATTCACAAAGCGAAAGGATAGATAAAGAAATATATGAGGGGCAAAGATCCTCGATTTATCCGTATCTATGAGTATTTTAGTGACTCAGCGGGGCTCTACAGTCCTTCATTGGAAGGTAGGTACTTACCATTTGTGGATTAGTCAAATACACTCTGTCATGTATTGTAAGATTGTAAGATCGATTACCGCTGGAGGCCACGTGTGGTGCCTGAGGCACTGTTAATGATCATTGCTTGCGGCACAGCTAAGCTGCCATCAGCCATTGTCTTTCCGTGTTGTTGGCCTTTTCTCGTCCAGCATCCTGTGCGCGCGTCAATATGGCGTCGGCTGGTCCGGATCCGCAAAGCCTCAAGTCATGGCAGGATGCCTTCCAGTACCCAATCCCCACCGTTCGCCATCTGGAACAGGAGCTACGTCGGGACATCGCGAGCAACAAGGAGAGGCTCCGGGCTCTCGTGGGGTAAGTGTCAGCGAGACAATTGGATTGAATGATCGCTAATATTAAAATCGCACTTAGAACGAGGTATCGAGAGCTCGTTGGGACTGCCGAAACAATTGTCCTGATGAACCGTGAGATTCAGGAGGTGGATTCGACTTTGACCGATATTGGACGAAGATGCAACCCACGATTGATCGAGAGGATGCATGCGCACATGAGTCAGATAAAGGATGATGCTCAGTATAAGGGTAAGAAGCTCACGCTCTCGGGCTTTGCAGTTCAAGGAATTGATTCGAGTACAGAAGCAGAAAGACGAGCATTGGGGGCTCAGCTTTCACTTCTCCACCGCTGCACACAGGCGATTGCATATCTTCTGAGAAAGCGCGGTTCTCCACTGCTGATGGCTAAACTACTGGTTGTTTCTCGACTCCTTCACAAAACCCTTTCACAGCAGAAGGCCATCCCACCATTTCTGGACAATTTGCGCAACCAGTTAGCGTCCCTTCGACGGACACTCCTGAAGAGAATCGACAAGCGACTGGCCTCCGCAAAGTCCACCGTTGACGATACAATCGAGTCATTGGCCGCTTATTGTCTAGCGACGAGCTCCTCATCAGACGATGCTATTCGCCATTTTCACCACGTTCGCCTGGACGTCATTGGGAACCTGCTGGGACTTACTGAGTCGTCAGGCGAGAATGTTCCGAACGCTCTACAGCTCTACATCCAAACTCTGCAAATGTCGAAGACTCTGCTTTCTCGTCGATTGTCAGATGTGCTCAATAAGTTGAAAGCAAGACCTATCTTGGCCGATCCTGACATCGTCAACCTTGATGAACTGAATGTTGACGTCCTGGGACGTTGGGTAGCTGCAGATGTCAAGAATTTCACTCCCTGGATCAAACTAAGTGAGCTGTCGAAACCAGAAGCCGAGAAGACAATCAAACAGTGGTCAAGGCAAGCGTTCGACGCTTTCGTCAAAGGTTGCAGCCACACCTTGACAGACTGGTACAGTTTTTCTGAATTACTCACTCTTCGTCGCAAAACTTTGGAGTTATGGCTTAGCTCCTGGGGCTCAACACCTACTCATTCGCCCTTGAACGTCCTAGAAGGCATTCGATCTGCTTTCAATGAGCGGCTCAGCCAAATATTATCGGATCAGGCCAAAGAGCTGGAGCAATTCGGCCAAGCTGTATCTTCTGTGGTCACGAATTGGGACACCAACGAACACGTTGAGACTCTCTCCCTTTGGGATGACGAACTAATCAATCTTGACTTCTCAGATGGTGCGGCCGCATTCAAACAAACAATCGCAGATAGATTGCTTGGCCGCGACGCAGACGTATCCGCAGTGTTAGCAAAGTACGAGACCTGGCTTGCGGCCATTGGCAAGTCCAAGGAGCATATCAATGAGATGAAACGAGTGCGATGGACCGACATCCTCGAGGAAGGAGAAGAGGAGGATGCAGACGTGGATATAGCGGCCATATTAAACGACGACGATACTGCATTGCTAAAAGACGCGCTCCAGCAATCTGTTCGGGAGTCGTTCAACTACCTGCAGTCATCCTTCGCCGAGGTTCTCAGTTCCTTTGGATCTTCTCATCGACACAAGAAAGCCGCCTTCCTGCTAAAACTCATTAGACTGGTTAGGAAGGATCTCCCTGTTGACTTCATTTCCAGCGATTTCGCCTTTTCAAAAGAGGTCGTCCCTCAGCTGCAACAAATCCTTACCGCACAGGTGGCCACACTTACAGAGCCATTAAATATATGGCCCAAACGCGCGTCGCAAACAAATAAAATATTACCGGGTCGGAGCCTTTGGGAGGGTGACCCTGAACTTCCAGTTCAGCCTTCACCGGCAATTTTCAAGTTTCTGCGACGTCTCGTAGACACGATGGATGGCTACGGCTTAGGGCTTTGGGACGTGTCTACTGCTCAAGCGCTGAAAGCAGGATTGCGAAAAGAGCTTGGGGCCACCGCCGCAGCTTTTCTTAAGGCTTTGGAATCGGTACATGATCAAGAGGAAAGCACAGCATCGGAAGAAGCTGAAACAGTCGAGAATGGAGATACTGATAAAATCCGACAGCCGGAAGTGGACGTTACAATCGGAGCCCAGAACACCGACGATTACAAGATTCAGCTGTATTTCGATCTAGTCTACTTGAGCAATGCTCTGGCGACAACCTCGGAGCCGTCTAAAGACTCATTGTCAGACGCTGTCGAAAGCCTCTGCAGCAGTCTAGACTCGAATCCGAAGACGGTCAAAATTATAGAGCAACGAGCTCATGATTATTGGAAACGAACGCATCTGTTGTTCGGGCTTCTGGCAGTGGGGCTAGAGCAATCATAACTGAATCAGACCAACATTTTGTATATATCATCTTGTTATGCACATACATAAACATAACCATAACCTTCTTTCGCAAGAGCCGAGTTCGATGCATTTGTCCAAGTATGAATTGCTTTACCTTCACCAACTGGCAACGCCCTAAGCCATCATTATTGCGCGGCTTCTTCACCGCCCACGTCACGTTCCGACCCGCAAACAACTTCGCCGCGGGAAAGCTAGAATGCCTCTTGCCAACTTCCTACTTGTGTACGCAACCCACTACGGCCTCAATACATGTTTATACGAATGATCTGGCGGTAGCACCAACTTTTTCATCATGGCTTCCCCACGGTTACCCTTTCTGTATCCGCATTTGATGCGCGCGATTAGAACATGCGAACCGTCCACCTACCGCACGATTCGGAGTCCCTCACATAACCGTGCGTTTCACGCCAGTCGATCTCGCGCTCAGGAAGCATATCACCGGCGCTATGGGCCCGCTGCTGAGGCCAACTTGCCTCCTCCGTCGAAGCCCAAGGAAGAGTTCTCCAAAGAGCAAGAGTCGAAATCGCCAGCTACGCCGGACGGCAATCACAAACTTGAGCAATCGCGGTCACAAGACGATACCAAGAGAAACGTCCTGGACGTTTCACAGGAGAAAGATGATGACCCAAAGACAGCGCAACCTCGTGAGACTCAGTCTCCGAATGACTTGCAAGCACAGGAGGAGTCCGAGCCCGACCTTGATGACCCCCCCGATATCCAAGCTGTCTCCCCAGTTCCCACCGAACGTCCAAGCCAAGATCGACACAAACCTAATTCCCTCAACGATAACCCACTCGACGGCGTTCTCCATATGCCATCTCCCTCATCCACATTGACTCCCACAGAAACATCTCCTTCCGCTAATAAACCGCAACTGGCTCCTGCCCCGTATGTCCATCACTTCGATACCTATTCCCTCGTCTGCGACCTATCGAACGGTGGCTTTACGGAAGCGCAATCCATCACCATCATGAAGGCTGTACGGACTATTTTGCACAACAACCTGGACATTGCCAGGCAGAGCCTGACTTCTAAATCTGATGTCGAGAATGAGACCTATCTGTTCAAAGCGGCTTGTTCGGAACTCCAGTCTTCCCTCCAGACAGCTCGAAATTCCGAAATGCAGAGGCAGCGTGCGTCCAGAGCACAGTTAGAACACGAGGCGGATATTCTCTCCCAGCGCCTGAACCAGGAGCTGGCGGGATTGAAAGACGACATCAAGGGAATGTTCAACGACCACAAGATGACGACCCGAGAACAGCAACGAAGCATTGATACGTCAGTTCAGGAACTCAATTATAAAATCACTGTCTCGTTGAACAGCGACGGCAAAAGTGAAATTGAAGGTCTCCGGTGGATTCTGACCAGGAGAGCTGCCATGGCTGTTGCTACAAGTGCCTGTAGGTCATCCCCTTTTGCATAGTGGAAAGGACTCATCGTCGTCAGACCTGAAGCTAACCTACATCTAGTCATGATCATTATTTTCCTCAAGTACTACTCGGTGCGCAAAGCGCAGGAAGCCGCTGAGAAGAAGAAAGAGGCCCCCGCAAAAGAGACGACGGAGAAGAGAGTCGCTCAAGAAGCCGCCCCACCGCCTACGCTACCTGCTGTCCCGGAGATCATTGTCAGCGAGTCTCTAGGTTGATGGCAATACAAGCGTCGTTCTAGCGCGCTCGGGTGGATCGTTAGCTTATTGTTCTAATAGTGTTTTATGGCTCTTTCCTTCACCCCTTCATACTAGACTTTCCTTTCGCTGTATTTTCTTTTCCTTTGTGCTTGACACGTGGTCGTTGGTCCTTGCACGGGCTCGTTACAGCACCACTTCGATACCCTGGAGATATTATAGAGGCTTGAGCGGATAGACGGATGGATACCGAGTCATTATTCGTTTCTTGTATTGATCATTGTACCTGTACTTATTTGTCATTCTATATACTATAGACAAGACTCACGGACGAGCGAGCCGAGCCTTCACCGTCATATCGGAGTAATTGTCACATTCCAAGTCAACACAAAGTCATGTGCACCAGGGAAGGGCGTAAGTTGGTGGACAGCAGAGATACAAGAGAGTCAACGTGGGAATTACGGAGAAACCGACAAAGAGCCGCCGGATTATTTAGAAATCGAATCTGAGCGCAATACTCGGCATACTTTGCGATGCCTCCGACTGTGCACCGCTTGTTTCAGCTCTCCCAACGCCCGTTCCAGGATCGGAACTTCGAAGAATTTCTTCAAGAAGACTCTTCTGGTCCGGCTTCATCGAGGCTACAAGAGCTCGGAACGTGGCCTGATCCGCTCGAGCAAGCTCCAGTAGATGAACGGCAGTTTCTCTGTATACCGGATAACTCTCGCGTTTTGCGCGCGCGAGAAGTGCGGACATAACCAGGGAGAGTGCGGTGGGCAGTTCACTTGCGGCAAAGGTAGTGCTGGTGGCGTAGGAGACTAGCGTACGTGCAATGGCTGTCCTTGCGTTCTCGGGGTCGCTTGAAATCTCCCCTTTGTCAAGGGGACAACCCACTAAGAAGGCTATGAGACGGGGAAGGAGATACCTCGCAATGAGGTCATCGGTTAGTGACCTTGGTGTGGAGGTAAGGAGGATTGAGCGGATACAGCCTGCAGCGACATTGGCAAGACCAACGTCCTGAAGACAGTCTAGGAGCTCGTTCAGGACACGAGGGATGGCGGGATCTTGAGGAGGCAGGATGTGGCCCCCGGTTGTCAGCAGGATGGTAATAGCAAGGAGTGTGTTTTTGGCACACGGTAGGGATGACTCGGACTCCCGTCGCTGAGCGATTGTCAAAGTCGTAAGGAAGCGTGTGAGACAACCGCGCAACTGGTGAGAGACGATGGCGAGATCCTGGGGTTCATCTGACGCGGAGGTCTTGGGATGGCTGATGCCATGGATAAAGTTTTTGAACGTCGGAAGAGCCTGAGGCACTACATCTGCTTGACAGAGTCCGGTCGCCAAAATGGTGGTAAAGATGTGCAAAATGCATGCGTTAAGGTCATTACGGATGATGGAGGGAAAAATGGAGGCAACTTGGACCAGAGATGAAAGGGCTAAGCGAATCAGCGACAGAGAGTCATCCGACGTCACGTTAAATCGGGCCACAGAAGTGTTCTCACGCAGATTCGGTAGCAGCCCAGCCAGAACAAGGATGATACTTCGCGTGAGCTCGAAAAGCTGCTCGATGTCATCCGAAAGATGGTTGCTGCGCGCATCTCCAGCCTTGGCTGATGGGTGGTCCAGTGAGAGGTTTCGCGCTATTTCGACAATCACGGTCTGGATGGGGGTTCCCTCAGTAAGGGCGAGCCGGTCAAAAGCGTCCATCGTCTCGGAAAAGATGGCATCCTGATAGATAGCATTTCCAGATATGACAGGTCGCAGAATCCTCTTGAGGGCTTGCAGGATATCCAAGCGCTGAGATGGCGTCGTCGACTGGTCAACCAGAGCTTCGAATGCCAAGCCAAAGAGTACGAAGAAGAATGCTACAGGTTCGTCGCGGTAGTTGATATCATGTTTCTTGTCCGCCGCTTTCCCGTTAGGCATGTTTGCTTTTTCGTCCTCTCGGTCCTTGGGCTCCGTTGTCTTTCCGTCGAGGGCGTCGAAGACGAAATCGATATCCTTCTCGACGAGGCCGGCGACCGCGTCGACTAGGCTCAGCCAGGAATCTTGGTAGAACTACGGTTTTATAGGGTCAGATTTGTCAAGAGCAGGCTTGTTTTGACTGGGCTCACCTTCAAGAGTGTTTCCCGGTTCAACGCCGCGTACACCTCGTCTAGGTTTGTACTTTGTGGGCCAGTACCCAAGCTACCTGAGATGTCCGGTTCGAATCTCAGCCGAGCATATTCTTGGAGAGAAGAGAGCCACAGCGGGGTGAGCGTTGCGAGATAAGGTTGAACGACCTCGTTCAGATAATCCTGGTCGATGCTTGCGATCTGTAGCCGTGCCCAAGCGGCGAACAGAGCCATCTTAACCATGACTTTAGCGTTGGAATTGAGACCTTTGAGATCTCCAAACTCCGTCGTGTCAGGATTTTCTAGAGAAGTTCAGCATTTTTTCTTTTTTCATGAACTCTTCAACTGCGCACTTACTCGAGAAGTTTTCCAGCCCGAGAACCAGGACTTTCAAGATCCTGCCCATCCGTTCTACATTTGTCACGATACCAGTTGCGATAAAAGTCGCAGAAACGTTGATTGCCTCCGATGCCAATTCTGGAGATGAATCAGCAGCAAAAGCCGGCGTAAGCGCCGATCCGATCTGGGCTTGGTATTGCTCGAGGAGAGACGCCTCTGCAAAGTCTGGATCAGGAGTTTTGCCGAACATCTGTTATGGGTCAGTCATATCATCACCCTGTTGAAGAACGAGAGCCAGTTACCTTGAGAACTTGATCGATAATCTTCAGCCCCCACACTCTCAGCTCTATGACATTTGCAGTGGACGCTGAGAATGCCATCCGGACAATATCGCCAGCCTTGTGCTGCAGGGCAAGTTCAGCAGGAATTGTTTGATCAGGCAAAATTGCCTCCTGGACTGTCGCCAACAGCTGACTCAGACAACTCATCACGAAATTCCTTGTCTGCCATTTCAGCAGCTCCTGACCGGCAACAGTTTCGTTTGCAGTCTCCGACTGTCCTGCCCCTGCAATTGCAGATGCGAAACCTGCAACCTCGTCGTCTGGCACGTCATTGACAGCCGTCTTAACAGCAGACGTCGGCGGGATGTCCTCCACTTTCAGCCGGGCTTTGGTCACCGTATTCTGGCAACGCTGAATCCATTGCTCGGTCTCTGAAAGGGCGGTTTGCTGCAGCCAGTCCAGAATCATATTTTTCAGGACCAGGTTATCAGGCGTATCATCATATGCAAGCCAGATCTGCTCTTCGAGACTTGGCGTAGCTGCTCGAAGGACTGAAGTAGCATCTCGCTTCATGAGATTGCTCAGTGCACGAATGGCCACATCCCTCATCAAAGGGTTGCCTGCACACAATTCATTTTGGAGACGTCTCACAAACCCTGAAAAGTCCACAAACCCCGGTGCGTACAGTGACATGTGATCTAAGCACTTGGAGCTTTCAGTGACCAGAGCCGGATTGTCCTCCAGTTGAAATTGCCGCAGGAGCGTCAGAATCAGGTTTCGTGTTTTTGTGATGTCTTGAAGATCAGGACCGAGGACATTGATCAGTGAATCGACGCAACGACTTATTACGACCGGAGTGAGGAAGGTCATTTCGATGTTGGATGTTGCCAAGCTTGCGGCTTCTTCATTGTGAGTATCGGCGTTGTATAGCTGAGCAAGCATCCCGAGCGCGCTGGAAACAAATGGCGAAAAGGTCAAGCCTGCGGAATTCGCTACTCTCTCTAGACCCCCAAGCGCCCAGAAATGGACGACAGGGTGGGGATCATTGCAGAGAGACATTAAGACGCCAACAATCGTCTTGAGGTGCAGGCCAGCTGCCATACCGCCTACTTGTGCGTGAATGCATCCCAAGGCTGCAGCACAGCCCGCACGTGCATTAGGCTCCCTGTTATCAACAATAGTATCGACCAACCAATTGACCTGAGTAGTCATAAGTGTGTTTCCAGCACTGTCACAGAGTCGTCCAAGGGCTTCAGCACCAATTGTTCGGACAATTGGATCTGCGTCAATGACGAATTTCTATGGTTGTCAGCTAGAGAATAGGTGAACGGAGGCCCTCAGCATGTCTCACCTGCAACAACTCCTGCAGTACTTTCTCAGTAACAGGATTGAGCCTGCTTGGCGCCGAGCCACTGTCCTTGGCAGTGGCCTTCAGCGCATGGAGTAATGCAACCGCAATGTTAACAATCATTGCAGCCTTGCGGCCAGGGTTGCGCTGAAGGCTCTGAGATGACAGGAACGTTGCAATCTGTTCCATAGTACTTTCTTGTACCTTAGGGGTGTACAAGCGAATAGCAACAGCGAACAGTTCAATCGCAGCATTGATGACCCCGGTAGCATGCGGGTCAGCCAAAACACTGTCTCTTTCACTTCTCGAAGAGTATAGAAGAAGAGAATCATGTTCGCTAGCTTGGCAGATAGGGAAAGTCAACTGCCATCGTTAGTTCCGAATGCAAGTGCCTACTGGTGGATGAAATACTCACGGCGTCGTCGATATCTTGGTCTGCTGAATCGACAGCTGACCAAGCAGGACCATTGTCTTTGTCCTGTTTGCCTGAGAGGGTTACACGGATATATTGTCGTGCTAGTCCTGTGACACCAAAGCCAAAATTATCGCAGAGGTCCCAGAGAGTCTCAAACTGGGCGGTTGCAGCCGCTATTGAACTTTCTAGCGGAGCAGGCTGGGTGTATTCTGGGTCGGCAAAGGAGGAGATGGAAAGACTCAACAGAGTAGTCTGGGAAATGACATCAGCGTGGCTGAGAGGATGGACATCAATCAGCTTAGAGAAGCATTGCAGAACCCGTCGCCGGACCATTGTGTCCAGATCATGCAATTGCAATGAAGGCTGAAGGCGTTGCGAAAGATCTGCAACAGACTTCTGCCGCGGAAGATCATCGAGAAATTCCACCGTGTTTTGTAGCATAGCAGCGATTCTTCTCGCACCATCCGCTGTGATCAATTTGCTGTTGAACTCCATGAATACCAACAAGGAACCCAAGGCACATTCCCGTACATGTGCAAGGAAACTCATCTCTAGATACCCACGCTGAGCGATATTTTCCTTGCCAAGATGCTTTGGTAGCGCATTTTTCCAAAGTAACATCAATTGGGACAGATGGATTTTCACGAAACTTGGTCCGAGGGGCATCAGACCTCCGATCAAAATCCATGCCACCTGCACCTGTGTACTCGCTGCCCGAAGCTCTGATTTGCCGCTCGTCTTCAGTAGATCGGTCGCCTGAGTGAACACACGGGAGAAGACATCAACAGAGCCGTAGAGCGGTTGCAGCCGAGAAGTACTCAACATAGCCGACAGTCCGTTGGCGTATCCAACACAGCGGCGCGGTGCCTGCCGGGGGGTAGAAAGCTGTCCAATCTCTCTACTCAGGCTGTTCAAGCAGATGGTCACACATGATATGAGCTGATGCGGGCAAGCAAGAACAAAGTTCCTCAAGCAGTGCGCGGTATGGATTTGAACGGTGTAGCTGGGATGAGGGAGGACTTGAAGCAATGCCTCCCGACAAGCTTCTGCCAGAGAGCCGAATGCAGAACCTAGGGACAATATCAAAGAAGACAATGCACTCAGAGCACTGGCAAGTGTGTATTTGCTGGGTTCGGGGCGCTCCTGGAGGACCTGAGGATAGTCCTTAAGAATTTCGTTGATTAACCACTTAGCAGCATTGAGCTGGCTATTCTCGCGTAGAGTTTCCCGCCCAACTGTCTCCTCCAGAATTCCTTTAACAAATCTCCGTGTCATTAGGAGTCGGAATCGGTTGTATGTAACGGTTGGATGGTTCAGAAGTTCAAAGAGGAGATGATTCGCAATCTGCCCGTAGCGCTCTTCGACAAGCTTGTCGCCTAGGCTGCGCAGAACATATTTGTAACACGCAGCAATACCGGCTCGTGCGCGATTGGAAGTTGTGCTTTTCATATAGTGAGTGGAAAGTTGGCGAAGAAGATCCGGCAGGAGGAAGTATAAACCAGGCTCTGCTTTTTTGGAAACCGAGGACTCGGAAACTTCAGCCTCATCTTCGTCCTCTCCTGGTCTAGGCGCGGGCTTTTTAGACTGTCTCTTCATCTTCTTAGGCTTGGGAATGGTTGTGACTCGTGCATCTGAGGCGTGCAATTTCACCAAGGCTTGCGCCAGACAAGCCGCAGCAGCGTGTCTGACAGGCGCAACATTGCTGTCAATGACTTTCCAGATCAGAGTCTTCAAATGATCAAAGTCATTCGCATTATCGAAGAAAGGTGTCGTTTTCACCAACTGCTCGAGACAGCGACATGCGTGGACCTGGACAAAAGTGGACTTGTCACTGGTTGCGGCATTACGAGCCTGCTTCCAGATATCCCGCGCTGTTGCTTCGTCAACGGGAACTCCAGCGCCCACCACAACCTTGCGCAAAATCGCAAAAGTTGAGCCCCGAAGTCCGGTATGGTTGCTGGAAGACTTCAGCAGTTTGAGCAAGCCCGATACCACAATTCCTGATTGCGCAAATACACTCTCTCCGGCGACCGCGAAGACCTCCCCCAAACAGTGAGCCGCGGCGAACTTCGTCTTGAGCTCCGCCTCATTTTTGCCTGCATTCAGTATGCCAAGAAGGTCGGTCACTGTTTCAAAGAGTATCCCCCGATCCCCTTTGCCAAGTATAGCGCCAAAAGATCGGCCTAGGTTGTTGCGGATAACACGAGTAATCGTTGGCGACGAGAGAGCCAAGATCTTGAATAGTTCCTTCTTCAAGAACTTCTGTTGCGATGATACGCTCGCCGAATCTAGGTCCGAGATATATTGTACCAAGTCCGAAGTGAAGGTGAGAAGGTAGAGGTCCTGCTGTTCGGAGGGAAGCGCATGGAGCTTTGTGATATCCAGCTCCGCACGAGGGGCCGCATTGTCGGAAGGAGTAGCTGTTGTTGCGTTTTCAGAAGAAGACATTGAATCCGACTGGCTCTGTCAGGCATTACCCATCAACCGTATATCATTAACAACAAAGGAAGACAAGATTTGAAAATTAGTATATGACTGAATCAGCCCCAGCTATGTTCCCAATTGATTGCGTCGGTGTCCCCTTAATCGGGCAGTTGGCCCTATCGCCGACCACCGGAAGAATGTCGGTCCGACTCCACATGTATACTTGCGCCGTTCCTGATCAGCAAGTTTATATGAACCTGCATTTGCAGAGAAAGTGACGCGGTCTGGTTCTCAATGGCGTCGATAGTGAGTCAAAGATTGTTATTGCAGCAACGTCGCCGGGCGAGGCAATCGGTATGCGAGATCTGTCGGAGTTTCTCCAGCAGCGCCCTGTTGTTCGCCGGTCACAATCGATGGTCACAGATCAAGCATGACAAGGCGAAGAATGACAAGGCAAAAAGCAGAGAGCGTCAGACAATCGCAAAGGAAATTAGCAGTGCTACGCAGAGTGCGTGTTTGACACCGAGTTCGCCGATGGCCAATGCATGCTAATGGTTTTGCAGTGTGGGGTGCTGATCCCAAGTTCAACCCCAGACTGACTCTTGCCCTGTCTAATGCAAAACGTGCCGGTATACCGAAGACTGTGATTGAAGCAGCTATTGCCAGAGGCCAGGGAATAAGTGTAACCGGCGAGGCCCTTGAGTCGGTAACGATTGAAGCCATCTTACCCCATTCTGTTGCGGCGGTCATCGAGTGCCAGACCGATCAAAAAGCTCGCGTATTACAAGACCTCCGGTATGCTATTAAGGATGCCGGCGGTACTGTTACTCCGACCACATATCTTTTCGAGAAGAAGGGCAGGATCATATTTGAGAAGAAGGACAGCGTGAATACGGATGATTATTTAGAGCAGGTCATCGAGGCAGGAGCGATTGATGTAGCGACGGATGATGATGGCCGACTTGTGGTCTTTACAGAACCAACAGAAACGAAGAGTGTGGGCGAAACGCTCACAAAAGTGACCGGACTCGTTATCAAGGAACTTGACATAATCTGGGATCCGAACAAGGACACTATGGTGGAGTTGAAGGAGGACGAGCAAGTCAAGGAAATTGAGGACATCCTGAGTACTCTTCGAGAGGATTCTAGTGTTCAAGATATTTATCTGAACACTTCTACGCAATTCTGATGACCATCAACACAGGGACCTCTCATATTTATATAGCGAATGAGCCTCACGAATACCCTGGCAGCCATGGACATAGAAACTACCATGACGTTCGAGAACAGATCCTCCTAATAGTGGAAAGTTACTATATCATATAAATATCAAATCCTGGATCGTCAATCTGCGCCGCCTTGGTGGTGATCGACCGCTCTAGGGTATTATTAAAGCAAAATTCGATCCCTCTGCAAAATATCTGAAACCCAACTAAGGCTTCCAAGTGTTCTCAACATCGGCCAATAAGAAATCATTCCTTGCGTAAAGCTTTCATCGTACTGCGCATCAAGTTCCCAATCCCACGGCTTCCTGTGGCGTCTAGCCAGTCAAGCATACGCACCCTGTACTCCTGCCAAGTCAACTTGACGCCACCGTCTTTCTCAAGTGCACCCAGTGCCTTCTGGGTCACGGGTTTCCTCAATCTGGGCTTGCCCTCGGCTATGTTGTTTTCTTCCTCTATGCCAGCGAAGCAACCAGCTGACATGTTGCAGAGGGCTACATGATAACTGAGAGAGAAAATGGAAGATAGGTTGAAGAAAAACGAAGCCTCGCGCTTCCTGTCTCGGGATGCCTCGTTCAATTCCCGAGTGTATTGCGTGAGTGCACTCGTCGTAGCAGCTGGCAGGAGACAGCCGAGGGCGTTTGGATCGTCGCCATTGAGCCCCCGATTTCGCCAAATCAGATTGCAGACATCCATGACGTATCCGTTGAATTGGCCCACCAATTCAGTCGGATACAGCGAATCTGTAGAATTTGGTATTTGAAGAATTTCGGAAGTCAAAGATGTTTCGAAGGACATTTTGTAGCTGGCAAGAACGGAGCTAATGATAGAGATGCTGGAGAGAATCGGCGTGAAAACGAGAGTGTAGACTGTCGGAGCTAGAGGAATAGTAAGACGGATCTGGCCATTCACGGACGCATAAGAAAACAGGTCGGCTAGAACGCAGTAGAACTCGAGCACAGATAGGGCGACTGGTTTGTGAGGTTCCATATCGTCGGTATTGGACGGTCGCACCGAAAGACTCTCTAGTATTGACAATGCCAGTAGCTCCGCATGAGTGATTAGGCGACCCAATGGTTTTGATTCTGCAGAGACTGAAGGTGACGTCCTCAGCTTCACACCCCATTGCCGAATAAGTGAGGAGTAAAAGTCAAGAATGACTGTCATGGAGAATGGTCCGCTGGCCAGTATGGCAGCCTCTAAAGGAGTCAGAAAGTTGGCTCGTAAAGTATCGAAGTCCTGAATGGGAAGGTACTCAAGAAGACTGAGAACCTCTTCTTTGTTGTCACGGCCGTTCCAAGACGAAAGATATTGTCTTAGAAAAGAAAGGACTGACGCAGGAATATCCTGCAACAAACAGCGAGTCAGCCAGTGTACATCCATGGGGCCAAGATGGCATACCTTTGTATAGCGCACATAATTCACGATGAGACTCAAGATGTAACCTAGAGATTCTGACGTGCCTAGTTCTTCATCTTGAGCATGCTCCAACCGTTCGTCAAAAAAGCTGCTCAGCCAATCATCTAACCGGAGCCTCGCAGACTCCGGCTGAGTCAGAGATAGATATTTCTGAGCTATGTTGTCTGCCATTGCGGATATAATCTGATTTGGGAGCTCAATCCGGTCGAGTCTTTCAACTAAGTGGTCGACGCTCCGCAGCTCTTCTAAAGAGGTACGGTTGGATGACACTCTTGATGTCTGGAGAACAGGAACTATCACCTCCATTTTCCCTCTCTTCGCCGCTCCACGATGAACTACTTGAAATGTTGATGACTGGGCCGCTTGTACTTGCTTCAGATTTCTGTCTTGAAGAAGCCTTGCGTGACTAGTCCACTCGGGGTCGGGATGCTTGAAGACCAAGCCTCTCCGTCTCAAAGCCCCGAGGTCACCCACGATGATGTCTGGATAATAATTTTTGAAGACGTTAAGCAAACTGATGAGTTCTTTTTCTTCCGCACCGGCTGTATTGACCAGTTCCATAAGAGCATGGATCCTAAAGGGCTTGACGTGCTTCCGCCTTGTGATCATTGAAAGTAAATGGCATAACGGCTTGCGGAGACTGATCATATCAAGCTGATTGAACAGCACTGCATAAAGTTTAGTGAGGTGCGACCTGTCCTCGCAGAATTCGTAGACGAGGATGAGCCATCGCAGCAGGGAAGCCTGTGTAGCAGGACTCGGCTTGTTCTTGCTGGGACCGAGGCAACACACGACCTGCGTGACAACCTTGGAAGAGATCCTGTCTATCGGATACAGATTCTTTATCAAGGTAGTAATTGTTCCTTGATCAAGGTAATTGTGTCGTGTCAAAATGTGGATCAATCGCTCAAGTGCAGATGGGCCGATGCCGCTTTCATAAGCGTTCGAAGCGATTGTTTTGGCCAGTTGACCGGCATCAGTGTATCGCTTCTTCGAGGGTACATAAGCAACTGCAATCAGGCATTAGCAAGGAGACCCGCGAAAATCGACTGAAGTACGATAAAAACAGGCAAACAGACCTGCTTCTAGATGCTCCAGTGCATCAGGCAGGCTACTCGGCCTGGGCTCTATGCCAGACGGGCCTGACGAATTGTTAGCGATGGTCATCAATTTGAGGGACCTGGCTATAACATACTGCTTTGTAGATCGGACGACATCAATTGTAGAATTTCACATGAAGATTTGATTCAATTCAAATACTGCCGCGTTCTCTTTCTCTTGTTGGCAGTATCGCGCTGATTCACGTTTTGTTGGGGTTTCTTCGCGTTCTGTCGACGTCTCTGCGCGCCAATGCGATATTATGCGAATGTCCTTGCGCCGACACAAATCGTTTTCTTGCGAGAAAAAGAACAGTTGGATTTGGGAATCAGTGTGATTCACTTGCAGGTCATTGCAACGGTCGGGGACTGGTATCTTCAATCATGCATTCCCATCGGCCGCGGGAACTGCGAGCTTAAACCGAATCTGGCGATCAACCATATGATGGCCTACTGCTCCCGATTTTAAGATCGTTGTCCTGAGAGTCGAGAAACAAGAATTATGTCTCATTTGTTTGGCCACATAGGTGGACGGCGCTTCACTAACGCGGATTCTATGGTTATTGGGTCTAAAGGATCAAAAGATACTTTTGACGAAGGTTAGAACTCATGAAGAAAAACGTAGATTTTGCTTATGGCAAATTATATCTGTTTCATCCAGGAGTTACGGTATATAGCTTCCTCCAGCATCAMGCAAAAGAAAGACATTCTGAACCAAAGTCATTCTTACTTCCTCTTCCGTGTTGACTTCTCACCACTGTCCTTTCCAGATGCTTCAGACACCCCTTCCAACTTCTTCTCGGATTCGGCTGCTGCTGGTTCCTCTGCCTCCTCTGCCTCCTCATCGCTGTCGCCTCCTTGTCCAAATTCATTGACCCGCTTGTAATCAACCTTATACTTATAGCTCTGGTAGAGCCAGATGAAGAAAATCACATCATCTCGGAGAGTGGCAAGCCGATGGAGCCATGGCATCTTGACGGTAAATGCGAACAGATCATCGATGAAGGTGTTGAGGAATTTGTACGTCAAGGCCTTGCCAGGCATATGAGCAACAGACTGTTGACAATATTAGCTTCATTACAAGGGTATGAACCAGGGGGCACCAACCTTCAGACGGTAGTTGATATAGAGACTGGGGACCATCATCAAAAAGCCATATGCGTAAACGCTGCCGACAAGTGTTTCAATAATGTAGGAGTACCACGACTTGTGTGTGTTGTAGATCAAGCTGTAGGCTGCATATGCACCGAGGAGAGGCACGGCAATGATATAGAGCCAGCGGAATGCAATTTCATCATACTCCTTGGTCTTCTTCTCAGTTTCCGAAAGCTTGTGCTTATCCTCGAATACCACAACATAAGGAAGGAAAGAATAGAAAGACCCCGCTGGCGGTGAACGCAGACGCACATTCACTGTCTTGGTGATCTTCCACGCCTCCAGTAAGATACCGAAACCTTGACTGGCGAGGATCATCCAGGAGGTGTTTTCACTGTTATCCATCAAGTAGAGGAAGATGATCGTTTGCATGAACACGTTAGCCAAAATAGTGCGGACTGAGGTCCCAACAACGTCCTTCTTCTTGCGCCAGTGAGACTAGAGTAGAGCCATTAGATCGACTGCATAATGTGGTCAAGCGAAAGGAGGAACCTACAATGTCGTTCTTGAACGCCAAAGTTTCAAAAATCATGTGCAGAATGGTAACCACACCAGTTGTACCAAGCAACCAAATGTTCGTGTTAAGGAGGACTTCCTTGACCATCTCAAACTCAGAACCATCGCCGCCCCCAGGCACGGAGCCTCCAAATGCGGCTTGCCGGGCGTTAGCCTTTGCATTCTCGTCCACACTTGCCATCATGTTAAACTTCCAGTTGGACAGGTTGTTCAGAGTGATCCGCAAAGGCATCGTCTTCACGGTAGAGTTGAGCTCGGTCATATGGCTTCGGAGTTGCCAGAAAGTATTCAAGAATACAATAGGATAGTACCACCCATTCTGACCAGAGGCATCTCTTGCGCCCGTGGCCTCGAGTTGCATGTGATGTCGAATTGCTGGGTGTACTTGGCGGTATTTTTGAACTCCGGAATCAGGAATCAGCGATACCGTGAAGTTGGGGTGATAGTATGAGGCAATAGAGACATCCGGGATGCTGTTGTCTTCCTCCTCCTCCTCGGCATCGTCCGAGCTGGCAAGCAAGTTCTTGAGCTTCTTGACCTTTTTCTTGGGAAGATAATGGTTCAATGGGCGGAAGAAGTGCACAGCACTATCTGTGCTATAATCCTTAGCCGTTGGGTCGAGTTGGTGTCCAGTGAGCGCAACATAGAAATGCGCCCAAAGCGTTCCATTTCGTTGGACTTCCTTGGGAATCTCGATGGTCGTCGCGATTTCCCTGGTGTCACTGTAATTCCCGATCGTGAAGTTCTTCTCACTTAATACAAGAGAATCCGGTGGAAGCGAGCTGAGAGAAGGGAGGACAATGGAAGGCGAGACGTAGATGCTGATATCAACGGCGCTGTTTGGGGGCCAAATTGGAGCAACGGTATCGGGGATAGGACTGTAGTCGGCGATTTCGCTGCGAGGCGGACGAGCTTGGAAGGAGGTCAATTCGCCAGGCTTCGCTCCGGATCCAGCATTCTGTGACTTGTTTCCGAAAAATTGAGAGATGAGAAACTGCGTCAGCATAAAAATAGCGAGACCCTGAAGAGCACCCTTCAGGCCGGACTAGAAGGACACGAGTGCATGTTAGCTTATCAAGTCCTGCAGGCGGGTACAAATGAATACGTACGCCGCCAGACTCCTGCTCTTCCCTGCGCTGTCTCTGTTCTGGCATCGTGCTCTGCTGACTAGAGATTGACGATGACAAAAAAGAGTGATTGTCCAAAAAGGAGGGAGGGGGGAAAGGAAAGGTAGAGCCAATACACGGACAGCCGACGGTCGAGAACCGAGCTCGGTCCACCTTGGCGGGCCTTAGGCCATTATAGTAGCGTTCTCGCTCGGCGGAGTTGATGATCAATGATGTCGTCTCCGAACTTCATTTTATGCAATCAATATTGTTTTGCTTAACCTCATATATTTCTTGGCTGTATTGGGGTAGATTATTACGCGATCTACGCTCGAAGCACTCTTATCCAATCGCGGCTTCTAGGACCGTCCGTCCGCGATGGGAGTGTCTGGCGCGTGAACTATCGGCTGCGACCTAATGACGGACAATCAACCCTCCCCCGATTACTCTCGACCACAGTTTCCTGCCCATTGCGAACCGCGAGTATGGATTCTCACTGCAGGAGACTCGCCCGTTGGGATATCGGTTACCCGCCAGATTCTTAAGCACGGAGACTATGCGTTAGTTGGACTGGCACATACGTACCTGGACCGGGATGAGTGCCGTCGCGAGGAGTTTGGGGACTTTCTGGCTGAAGTTGAGAGTCACCGCGACGAAGGATGGGTGCAACGCTTCAAGACAGTCCCTTTAGATATCAGGTGCGGACGTTTTTGACTCTGAATTTGCTGATCAGAGCTCACATTCAACATGTAGAATGATAGGGCAATGTCAAGCCTTGGTCGCCGAGGCAGTCGCAGCATTCGGCAAGGTAGACATCCTACTCTGCTGTAGTAGCCAGAGTAAGAAATCTATTCTACCGTTTTCCGAGTTCTGTTTTGTGTGCTGACACGCCAGAAGCCCTTGTCGGCACAGTAGAGGAGCTTGCAGCTTCTCAGCAAACCTTGAACTTGGTCAAGGACCAGTTTGAAACCAATTACTTCGGTCCTCTGAACATCATCAAAGCAGCGCTGCCTCACATGAGGAAGCAGAAATCCGGTCATATCATGATTCTTTCTAGCATTAGTATGATATTCCTTGGCCCCTATTGCTCCGATACGACTCTAATCTGGAGTAGCTGCCCACATCGGTACACCCGGCCTTGGGATGTACTCCGCCGCTGGCTGGGCCCTGGAGGGATTTTGCGACGTAAGTTTTTGGCAGAATGCGCATTCCTTACATTCTAGCTAAGAAGTCGCATTATTTAGAGCCTGGCGTACGAAATCGCTCCATTCAACTTGAAGCTCACAATCTTCCAATGCAGCATCGAAATTGGTATCTTGACAAATTTGATCACCAGTGTGCCTCCAATAGTTCCAGCGTACTCTCCTGCCGTCAATCATGCCCCATTGTTCCGTGGTATATTGAACAGACTGGTTCCTCGTCTGCCCCACCAACAGACTCGGGAGAACGGTTCCCAAAATTCAAATCAAGTCAGCTCTGCTGAAGAAGGGCCCTTTTCCACCCCCAAAGTTTTCTCCATGTATCCACCGCTAAGTTCCGCACATATGGAAGTCCTGGTTGAAGAGACTGTGTACGCTATCACAGCCATCGGTGGTCATGAGAACCCACCTTCACGTCACATAGTGGGACAAGAAGGTGTTGCAAGCGTCAAAGAAAAGCTCAAAACCGTCAGCGAAGAAATGGAGGATTTCATCCAAGCAAGCTTCGCCGTCGATTACGCTGCCGACGGTGGCCCCGGTCCTTCCAAGGAAGATAATATGGTCCTGGGGCCAAACCACAATGAAAAAGTTTGACGTTTAAATCGCGGGCTCTCTCAGATCTTGCTAAAACGCTTTTATCGAGACTCCAACTGCTATTCCGTTCGGTAAAAAAAGGCTCTTAAGGGCTCCACGTAAGATTGAGGAGACCACCTGGCCGAAAACGATTATGAGGAAATGGCCGTCAATGCTCGCGTTTCCACTCGTAGCCAGCACAGATCTCTCCCAGATACATTGAAGAGAAGATTTTACTTCCCTCTAAGGTACCAAGCCTGTCTGACTTCCCATAAACTTCCCATGTCCTGGTTGTTCCGGTAAGATCGAAATTCCTTCCAAGCATTCCCGTTGGGAACGTCCTTGATACGCCCATCCACTTCCAAGATTTTCAGAGCGAGAGCGTTTGGACCCCCGATATTTTCTACAATGATTTCCGAGGTCTGATCCGAATCACCGGCCAAATTGGTTGAGGATGACTCCTCCTCCTTCGCTAGGCAAGAAGCGACTTTATCTTGAAGGACTTCCGTTGCTGAAGCGGCAACGCTTTCTGCTTCTGTGTTGTTAGTTGAGACAGCGTCAGGTGTCCCTGTAGGTAAGAATGAATCTGCCTCTGCTCGAGGATAGGTGACCTCCACTGCCAAGCTTTTGGGATCAGCTACAAGGACAACGTCGTCATCTAGCTCACAATTCTGTGAGTCGTCCTCAGGAGATATAGATTCCTGTTGACGCTTTTTGCGACTACCGTGCTCGACCTCAGATTTCCGCTTTCTGGAGCGACTGGACTTTCTTATGCTATTGGTATCCCCTTGAGCTTGTTCATTTTCCTTTGCAGTCCCGTTCGTTGGGATCTCAGGTTTGGAAGTCTCATCATCCTTGGGTTGAGAACTTGCGGTAGAATGCTGCCGGACTGGAGTCTGTACGGCAGACAGGAAGACTCGTTGGCCTGAAGGGATCGCAAAAGTCAATCGCTTTCCTTTAATCTCCAGAATCTAGCCATGAGGATTGTTTAGCTCAAAAGGGTATTCGGCGAACGAGAAAAGAGGGCAAGGGGCATAGCACTTACTTTTGCCTCCTTTTCGACTAAGACCTTATTTCGCCCTTTGCCAGCAAAGGTTCGCGAATACTTCCAGACATCACCTTCGCGTACGACTCCATGCTCAATGAGCGTAGTCAACTTCACTTGGGAACTCTGTCCAGCGGCAAGAGTTTTGTCCATTTTCTGCTTTTGGCCCCAAAATTCTTCAAATTCCTCCTCTTTAAATCGGTCAAATTTCCCCTTTTCCCTTTCGCGCACAGCCTCATGAGCTTGGCGCTGCCATTCAGAGTCATAACGGCCATGTTGGAGGTCTAGCTGAAACAGACGAATACTATCTCGCCAGAAGTTTGAATAGCGCAGGAAAGATTCGGGTAAAGGGGGTATCTTCGCTTCCGGATCATCCGACGTGGACTCGCGATTCGGGTGTAAACTCTCAGGAAGAAGATTCAGTATCTCCTCTTTCTCGCTTTCTTCAAGGCAGTCCCATGCTTCGGGCCGCGCGAGCAGTTTCTAAATCAGAACAAGCTCAATCAGCTATCCATACACGTTGTTTAGCTGCGCACATAATCCACTCAAGCACGACATACCACAAGGTCTATATCAATCAGTCGCGAAGTGGTACTGGTCATCAACTTTTCCTCCTCCCACCGATCCTTTGCCGTTCTTCGGGGATTTCGCTTTGGTTTGGTGTTTGTAGACATTGCCGAGCCGGACGCGCCAGCGTCATCGAAGCCTGCTACATCAGCAGAGCGAGTCGAGCGGGATCTGAATCATCATGTTAGAGATCTGCACTTAGGAAACACGCAACAGACATGGGCCGCAAGGGAACCATAATCACAGCTTTCGCAGTCTGCTGTGTTCTAGATGGCATCCCTTACGTCTTCGGTTGTTTCCCCGTACTGCCGCTCTCGACCGCCTTGCGCTTGCGGGCCATTTGTTGAGGACAACACCAAGGGATCACGGAGTCTCTGTGTCCTGACAGCTGTCTTCTGAAGGTTTGCGCACAATTAGACGGTAGATAAGGTCGCAGTTGCTCTCATAATGGTTAAATCGACTCAGATTGCGAGGCTGGATGGTAAGATACAGCACAATGTAGTGTTGAAATGTGAGCAGTCACTGACGTTAAGAGGAAGGCCTGATGCTAGCAGCGTCGGTGGATGATGAACAGGTAGGCTGGCGACTCATTCACTGAATCTTCACAAGACAGAAGCTAACTGAACCTTTATCCAGGCCGAAGCGGAGCTTTCCGAGATTAAATCTCAGGCCAAAATGATATTTCGCCGGTTGAGCCGCAATTCTGCACCACAAGCCAGTATTGAATCCAACCAGTATAATTTACAGTACGCACGGTCTTCATATGCAGAACCCATAGGAACCTACTTATTCCGAATTTAGCTATCTCATCAAAGACGACATCTGCTTTTTGTGTATTTGCGATCGTTCGTACCCCCGGAAGCTTGCCTTCACCTATCTCGAGGATCTAGCAACGGAATTCACCACCACATACTCCCCGTCACAGTATCATTCTCCGACTCTGCGACCATATGCTTTTGTGGAGTTCGACACTTTCATCCAACGCACCAAGAAGATTTACCAGGATAGCCGGGCATCGCAAAATCTCGACCGGTTAAATGACGAGCTTCGTGATGTGACCAAGGTAATGACTAAGAATATCGAGGACCTTCTGTATAGAGGTGATAGTTTGGAACGCATGGGCGAGCTATCGGGACGTTTGCGGGAGGACAGTAAGAGGTATAAGAAAGCCGCAGTTCGCATTAACTGGGAGCTGTTGATCAAGCAGGTATGTTGTCTCCACATCCCCAGGAAGATTCCCAGAAATGCCCTGCTGACTTTATCATAGTATGGGCCATTTGCGGGTGTTGGCTTCCTCCTGCTCTTCCTAATCTGGCTTCGGTTCTTCTGATCCCTTTCCTCTTCCGAGCACTTAGGGTGTCTAAACCCCCCACCCTCTCTTCAATGTATGTTAATGGTTCCTCATGGATGCAGGACATCCTGCCACTTATACTTGGCCTCCTCAGCTTGATAAACTCATAATCTCCAAGCTAAAGCCTCACACTTGCTATTGCAAGACACAGAGAAGCAAGTAACTCACTGCTGACGGCAACCAGAAGAGAGTCTGCATATGAAGAATGAGACGAAGTCATGTAGATGGTTTGCGAAGGCGCTGTGAGCAGCCGGATCAAAGGTTATAATTCGTCCTCTTCTTCATCAAAATCATCCTCTTCGCCCATGTCGTAGAGAATGCGTCCGCCTTCCCCAGGGCCGTCGCCTTGCTGCGCATCAAAGTAAGGCAACACGACTCCTTCTCTCTCCCTTCTCTGCCGTTCGGTGAGACGTAACTCGAAAGTCGACTCTGGTTCGTCGCTCCCAATTCCAACGTCTGGCTCCACCGGTGGATGATACAGCGGGTGATCGTCCAGTAGAATCACAATTTCCTTTGCGTAATTGGACGGATAGCGCGCTGCTGGTGGTAGGACATACCACTCAAGAACGCCACGTCCACTCTTACGCCGATGCTCCATTTCTAACACGACACCTTCTACAGAATCGTTTCCTGTTGGTTTATCCAGTCGGCCGAGCAGGACTCCATCCAGCTCTTCTTCGAGTCCAAAGACAGGCGCTGCCAGACTGCGATCACGGGCAGCTTTCTGCGCAAGTATGTGTGAGAAAGAGTGCAGCTTGATGACGGTCGTTGCGAGGTAACTAAGAACAGAAAAAGAAGATGGAGAGTAGGGTGTTGCACATAAGTGGCTCGGGACGTCCTGGTGGAAGGTCACGATAAGTGAGGTCTCAACTTTGGCAGGAGATGACCCGGGAGGTGCGATGAATGAGCCGAGAAACGTCGGCAAATGAAACTGCGAATCGGTCTTTTTAGAGCGCAAGAGTGGATTGATAGAATCAATGAGAATTAATCGACCTATAACCAGGGGGCAAAGACGTGAGCATAATCGCGAAGGAATCGGTTCGGATGCTTCACTTACGGCGCGAAGAAACGTTAGAAGCAGGCTGGTAAGCAGCGCTTACTTCCCTGACAATTTCCGAGGGATGCTTCTTCCGAGCTGAGATGAATGCATCGACACCTTCGAAAGACCTCAATGTCTCGAAAGCTATGAGCGTCACGTGAACTTTTGAAAGCTTCCCCAGGGGCCGTTAGCACAATGAATTAGCTTGAAAATGGCTAGGTTATGCTATTAATAGCAATGATCATAGCCAGAATAAATGATCAAAATGCAGCTTTTTGCTCATTGGATAAATTACTCACCCTTGCACGTCGAATATACTCGTGAATCAATGGCGTTGCTGGTTGTTCTAGAGAGTCCAACAACAATGTGAGTGGGGAAGCTGTGTCTCTGAGGCTCAGAAGTTTCGAGATTAGAAGTAGATTATGTGTCTGTCGATGAGATAAATTTGAAGGAGCCATTTTGTAGGCTACAAACGTCGTGCGTGCCTTTGTCGACGATGAAAAGTTTCGCGTTGCGGGATTTGTTTCGAGGGATCGGAGAAATTATTGAATCATCCACACCAGAATATTCTTGGGCAGTTCTTTGCGACTACTACCTTTCGCAGTTAGACTGAGGCTCAGCGGGACGGGCCGTCAGGCTGCATCAATTGGCAGATTACTGGGCATCTGACTGCCTGAGGCACTAAAGCGAGTCAGCCCTTCATCTTGTGGTCAGGTAAAAGTGCAGAAGAATGAAGGTTTTTTAGTCTCAACGAAACAATAAGCCATGCTGAACCTCGGGAATTTGCTGATTAAGAAGCAAGAATTCCTGAAAGCTACTTTTTGAATACTTTGTTGAGATTTCCGGAAGGCTACCTCACTACAGGTATGGCATTCTCATACATCTCTTATTCAGCCCGCGGGGCTCCAAGACTTTCGCTCCTTATCACTCAAGCAATATTTGCTATATTGCACCGGTATGTGAGACCTTAGGTATTAGGAGATGTACGTGGGCCATCGATGTCTCTCTGAGCTTCCGCGACCAGTATTATCAAATTAATGGAGGACATAGTCTCGCTTCTAAACAAACCAGGCTATGGAGCTATTCTTATCCCATGAAAGTGTGCCTTAGCGCTGGAATTTCGGATTCAGCACTGGTCTGAGATATCCACCAAAGGATTGAAGCCCACCGTATCCACCTAGTTATGTCGTTGTTTTTCTGCTGTGTCTGGTCGGATGACATATAAAATACCTTAATAATGGTAATCAGTTGGCAATCCCATGAATATGCTATTTTTGAGCAAGGAGTCAATATGTCGAAAATAGAACCGCAAAAAGGAGTTACTGCTCGTAAAACCGGAAGAAATCAGTAGCGTAGGTGAAAGCTGGCTGATTCCGTGTTGGAAGACACTGACCCCTTCAGTATCCCTGTCCTCATCTTTTTTGTAGGTTGGTATTGAAGATGACGAGAAAATGTATGTGACTGAAGGTTGTAAAAGATTGTTGAAAGTCGACGGCTTGAAATGGCTTAGTGGCGCATTAGGTAGAAATCGGCAACCGTATTAACTTCACGTTCTCCGTTTCAACTGCACCAAAGGTTGTTTGAGCAAAAGAACACGGCAAACCCCATTTTTCGATGAATTGATACCCCTTTTTTAGACAAGCCATGAATCTCCAGTTGTTTCTATATTAATACCCTCACCAGTCGCCGAATATCTCCTTACTCTCGAGCGCCGAAAGAAGCACTCCTCCCTTATCGACCATTACGATCACGATCTCCGCAACAGCGCAGAATCAAAAAATGGCAGAGCCCCCCACGAAAAGAGCAAGACGAGTCGATAGCTCGACAATGTGGGATCTAGACGAACGGAAAACGCGTTCTCCTGAGCCGGACTCAGATATTGGCAGAAGCCCTCGGCGTGACGCACATCAGAAAGATGATCGGCGGCGTGAGGGGCTCCGCGATGACAGAAGATATCGTTCACGCTCAAGAGATCGGGTTGAAAGGCGCAGAGAAAGGAGCAGGTCTCGAGATCGGCGTGATCGTGACCGTGACCGCGATCGCGATAGGACAGATCGGGATAGAGATGGTCGGGGAGCAAGGGACGGAGATATAAGCGCGACCAGAGAAAGACATTACGATAGACGAGGTATGCTGTGTCCTACTAATGAATTCGAGCTACCCATACCTAACGGTTTTCAAGGATATCGAGACAGATACCGCGACCGCTCCCGCTCACCTACTCGGAATGGGAATAGGGACAGGACTAGAACGCCACCCCCTCGAGGGCCCAAGGGAGATCGCAGAGACGATCGCAAAGATAACCGTCCGTATGGCAATGGCGTCCCACATTCACCGTCACGACGAGACAAGGACGAGATGGAGTTGGACCCCGCAGTACCGGTCGAAGAAGATGAAATGGAGGCGCTGATGCGCAAGAGCCTGGGTTTTACAAGGTTCAGGAGCACGAAGAATACCAAAGTGCCTGGAAACAACGTCTACGGTGTGCGGAAAGAGAAGAAGACTGTGTACAGACAGTACATGAACCGTGTAGGCGGATTCAACAGGCCCCTCAGTCCTTAATGCGAAACGACACTGCAACTTTGTGATGCAACGATCGCTGAGAACTTTCTATTTCCATCGACTCCTTCTCCTCATCTTCTTCATCCGGGCAGTTTCTTCATTTCTATTTGTCATCCATTATGCGCATTTTCCGGAGTAGGCTTTGTTATGGCATGCTCTTTTGTGTGTCTTATGTCTGGGCGGGATATTTGGAGTGTTCATATTCATTCAAACCAGATAAGTGCTAGCAGCTAAGTCATGCTTACCAAACCCTCAGTACAATACCAATAGCTTTCTGGCCATGAGAGCAAACTAAGAATTCTTCCTCTTATCTGCTTTCAAGTCAGAGTACTTTGTATGCCAGCTGCTGCGACAAGGTACCTGACTCGAGTGACATATGTACCTTATAGCCATAGACTAGATTCATAGATTTTGCACGACACCACTCCCTATCCCATGATGAGATGCTCTGGACCTGACAATAGGGGGCTGCAGAAGGAAAAGCTAATACCGGGGTTCACCATGCTGCTCAACAGACTAGGATCACTGCTTGGAGGGATCCCAGGCACCTTTCGCTACTCCATTTCCAGCTTGTCCAATTAGACAAAGTCACTTTTTCCTTGGGCTGCCCTGGTACCCTTCAATGGGGCTTGCAACCCGCAATGTACTACCAGTGACCTCGTTCGACCAGTGCTCGAGAACGGTAGTTAACGCATTTGCTCAACACTCGCTGATATAGCACCGGCAGTGGTCAAGAATCATTGCGCGGTGAATCGCCCTACGTTATATGCAGAAAAAGGTTGTATTTAGAATGCTCAGGCTTTAACAAGTAGCTCCATTGCTTCCATTGGGGCACGCATCGGCTTATTGAATTTAGTCCTAGGTCTAGAATGCCCGAGTTGGTGTAATACTGGCGGGCCTGATCCCATAACACGTCTCTTTAGAACCCTCGCATATACCGTTCTCAGAGGACGGTCTACCTGACCAGACGCTCAGGAGCTGGTGACGACGCCCACCTCGGGCATGCACAAAGCACCAAGGCCGACCAACACTAATAGTGAACATCTGGCAGTGATGGAGATTCTTGCGTACCAATAGCAACATTCGGACGCACTGTCGAAGGCGGACTGCAGGCATCTGTCTTCGCTGCATGTTTTCATCAGAATCTGCGACGTCTTTCAGGTATCTCTTATTCCGCGGAACTTTCGCACTGCTAGGTTTTTACCGAGCCGAGTCGTTCAGCTGAAAGGTTGTGAGCGTCCAACGGATAACTAGTAAAGGCTGGTTTGTGCGCTTGCTCAATTAGTGACTCTCAAGTATCAATTGGCACGTTTAGCATAGTCCTGCAACCATCAGTTGACGACCTCAGTTCGACTACAGTGCTATTGTCGCCAGACATAATCCTGCTCAAAGTGCTAGCCGCTCGGAAAGTGAAGAAGGGCACGGCATATATCTCAACGTAAAGTGGAACAGGGCAAGCGCATGTCGTCACTGATCATCAACGCATGGATCGATTGTACTGCAATCGACATCCTGGCATTCAATGCAGCAAAGAGAAATGCAGTACTGCAGCATAAACGGCCATCCCTTCGAGAGACCTCAGGACGTGCAGTCGCTTCAGCCTCAGCAAGTTTACAAACATCGAAGCAATGCTCTTTGTCCACATTTGCGATTTCAATTGCTAATAATATGAAATATTTGGAAGTTGGAACTGTACGGAGTACAGTACACCATTATGTGCGTGACCAGTTAACTCTCTTGTCACATTGTGTCTGGCCTGTACTAGCGGTGTCTATATCTTACCCGCCTGTGGATAATTTGCGAGTCTGGGGTATCTCTACCAAGGTTAAAAAGAAAGTCATACACCCCTTTTTCCTCTTTAAAACAGTGGGAAAAAAGCGTCCTCTAAAAAAAAAAAGTGTGCATGGATATAGCTAGGCTTGGCTTAACTACTTATATTTGGCTGTCAAGTTGGTGCTCAGTGTGAGTAATCAATCCAACTATGACGTACCTATGGAATGAACAGGGACACTTTCGGCCTTGACCATGATCCATCTTACTCAGTGAGCGAAAAGCAGCAGCACTTTTGGGCTGAATCTGGAAAAGCAAAGTCGCCCTGTTTCCGCAGAAAAATAGTTCGATGGCCGCTTTTTATCTTTCCCACACCTCCCATCTAGAGCATCTAATAGCGCATTCCAACAACTTCCATAAGTGTGGTGTCCATAAGGTTTCTGCAACCCAGATTGTTCCTGCAACATAAGATGTCAGCTTCGAGTGAGCGTCGTGAAATTGTTATCGTCGGTATGTATGGTCTACTTCCAATCGGAACTACCCCGCACACATTTTGAGGTGCGCAGAGCTGATAAGATGGTCCCAAAGGCGGTGGTATCATTGGATGCTGTTCGGCATATTATCTGACAAGACACCCATCATATGATCCATCGCGCCATAAAGTGACTCTGATCGAGGCGACAGAAATTGCGGGAGGAGCATCAGGCAAAGCTGGGGGACTTCTGGCGCTATGGGCATACCCAAGCAGTATTGTTCCTCTGAGCTACAAGCTGCATGCGGATCTGGCAGAGGAACACAACGGTAAAGAGAGATGGGGTTATAGAGAAGTTGGCTGTGGACAGATTGTTGTGAGAGGCCGTCCACTTAATGGAAAGAAGGATGCCGGCGAGAAGGACACGGGAAGCTCGTTATCCCTTCAAAAGCGGAGTGAAGCTGCTATTGCGAGACTAAGGAAAGCCAAATTTCCGCATGACCTCGATTGGATTGACCCCCAACTGATCAGAGGCTATGAGAGCATGAGTGACCCTGGCGAAACCGCCCAAGTCCACCCTTACCTGTTCACCACATCAATCGCAAAACTTGCCGAGGAGAAAGGCGCAGAGATCAAGTTGGGATCAGTGACAAGCATTGGCTACGCAGGTGATGCTGTGGAGTCAGTTACATACGATGATAAGGAGTCCGGAGAGTCGCGCACAATTTCGGCGACGGACGTCATTATTGCCGCTGGTCCCTGGACACGAACTGTCATGCCGGATGCTCCCATATCGGCAATGCGCGCTCACAGTGTTGTCATCCGACCAACCAAGCCGGTGAGCGCTCATACTCTATTTACGAACATTGAAATACCCGCCAACTTCAATCCATCGAAACCCTCACGCCCCACAGTCGTGTCCCCTGAGATCTACGCTCGCCCCGACGAGACGGTATATGCTTGTGGCGAGGGTGACCAGGTTGTCCCGCTTCCAAAGACTACAGCAGATGTTGAAGTGGACCAGACACGGTGCCAGGACATTATCGACCAGGTGGGAAGCATATCCGATCAGCTTCGGGACGGACAGGTTTGCGCACGGCAAGCTTGCTACTTGCCCAACGTCACTGCCGTACGAGGTGGTCCCTTGATCGGCCACACTGGCACCAAAGGGCTCTACCTTGCCGCTGGACACACCTGCTGGGGTATCCAAAACGCACCCGGGACCGGAAAGCTTATCAGCGAATTTGTTTTTGATGGCGATGCAAAGAGCGCCAAGATCGGGTCTCTAGATCCGAGGAACTTTCTTTGAAAGCTCTATATAGACTAGAATCATGCCACTTTTATTGTAGCCATGTCTGGAAATAATTTGTGCCTCATCATCTGGCTCAATCTTAGGTTGCTCAAGGAGATGCGGAGGAGAAGACGGACAGTTGGGACTTGGTATAGGAGCTTGGGCCACGTGGAGCGGAAGCCAGAAGCTCTCCGCTTTAGGACAGATCATAGGTAGGGTTGAGGACCATTCCAATTGCAAGGTCTCCATGTCATAATTTCATGCCGAATCCTGAGGTTTCTACTTTTTCTCCGATGCATTCTTAGATATGCATTTCCCGAATTTACATTTCATTTTCGCGCCCTTTCTCTATAATGTCGTGGTCTCCGCTGGTCAAGCCTCCGCCGCAGACGATTTATCTGTCCTGACCACAGAGACATCGAAGGCCAACAATGACTCGTTATTATGGGGTCCCTACAAGTCCAATCTCTATTTTGGTGTCCGGCCGCGCATCGCAAATAGTCTGTCGGCCGGGTTGATGTGGGCGAAGGTGGACAATTATGCCACCTCGCAAGCCAGTATGTTTGCAGCTTGATTAGTGTATTTAGAGGGCGATTGCATCGCATTGAATACTGACCGCTATTCGAAGACTTTAGACATACTTGCGAGCAGAATGAAGGTATGGCTGGCTATGGCTGGGACGAGTACGATATCAGGAAAGGCGGCCGGCAGACAATCCATGACACCGGAAACTCTTTGGACTTGACAATCGACTTCATTAAGGTCCCTGGTGGACAACATGGCGGCAGCTGGGCTGCCAGAGTGAGAGGTGTCCCGCGCGAAGATGGTTTCCCCGACCAGCCTACATCAATCGTCTTCTATGCTACTTTGGAGGGGCTGGGTAACCTGGGTGTTGCGACGGAATCTGGTCCTCTCGGGTATGAGGGGGACGTGAAATTGACAGGATACACAACCGATCTTGGGGACTTCTCCATTGATGTGACTGCTGGCCCTGGAACCAATAAGCATCCTGAACATGGGCACCCGTCCTATGAGGACAAGCCGCTGGATCGCACTCTGGTTTCCAGCTCTACCATTGCACCTGAGAACCTCTGGCAGGTGAAGGGTAGGCTCAGCATCCCGAGGAATCGCTCTCTCATACCAGATCGGCGCTGACGTATGTACAGCCATTCTTTTCGCGCAGATGAAGTCCGAAGTCAATGAGGTTATAGAGAGATTTGGCCAGGAGAATCCTCCGCCACCAGCACAAGTTTTTACGATCAAGAACGCGCCTGGCGACGGGAACATTCATCTCGTTCAGAAGGTGTTCAAGGGTGCTTTTGAGGTATTGTTTACCATTTACTCGTCGGTACGTGGCTTACACTATCCAGTTCGATATCCTGTTCAATTCTGGGTCTTCTCCAGACCCCGTGACGTGTAAGCTCCGCCTTCTCTTGGCCTCGCCGGCCGATCGAACGGAAATGTTAATCAAAGTGATGTAGCCGACAAGCTCACCGAAGAGATCTCCAGCGCATCCCAATCATTCTCTGAACGCTTCGACAAAATCCTTCCACCGCAGTCTCCCTTCAAGACTGCGGAGTACTCTGAGTTCTCCAAGGCAATGCTGTCGAATCTTATTGGCGGCATTGGCTTTTTCCATGGAGATGATGTTGTTGACCGCTCTGCAGCACCAGAGTACGATGAAGAAAACGAAGGTTTCTGGGAGGAGACGGCCGAGGCGAGGGCGCGAGCTCAACCTGTTCTTGAAGGGCCCAAGGACCTCTTCACTTGTGTCCCGTCTCGACCCTTCTTCCCCAGAGGATTTCTATGGGATGAGGGATTCCACCTGATACCTGTGATTGACTGGGACACTGACCTTGCGTATGTTCCTCGATTTACCTGGCCTATTCCCCTATTCTCCAATATCCGTTTGATGAATTGGCCTACTAACTCAGAGAAAGGCTCGAAATTGTGAAGAGCTGGCTGAATCTGATGGATGAGGATGGCTGGATCGCTCGAGAGCAAATCCTTGGTGCCGAGGCCCGTAGCAAGGTGCCACCAGAATTTACGGTACAGTATCCTCATTATGCCAACCCGCCGACTCTGTTCATGGTATTGGAGGCTTTTCTGGATAAGTTGGAGGCTAGCAAGAGCGCCTCTTCTCAAGAATTGGGCGACCAGGGCGCGCTGGACGGTCTGCGTATGACCTATCTACAGAAACCGGAAATAGGCGAGGCATTCATCCGATCGATCTATCCGCTGCTCAAGCGGCATTACTTTTGGTACAGGACTACCCAAAAAGGAGACATCAAGTCGTACGATCGGGAAGCATTTTCCACGAAAGAAGCATACCGCTGGCGAGGAAGGTCCGTCCAGCATATTCTCACGTCGGGACTTGATGATTATCCTCGCCCACAGCCTCCCCATCCAGGCGAGCTGCATGTCGATTTGATTAGCTGGATGGGAATGATGACTCGTGCCATGCGACGTATCGCTGAGTTTGTCGGCGAGACCGAGGATGTGGAAGAATTTAGAGGGTACGAAACGGCGATCGAGCGTAACATCGACGATCTTCATTGGGATGATGAGGCACAGGCGTACTGCGATGCCACCATCGACGAATTCGAGGAAAGTGTCCACGTTTGTCACAAGGGCTATGTCTCCCTCTTCCCGTTCTTGACAGGCATGCTGGGCACTGATAGTCCTCGACTCAAGGCTGTTCTGGATTTAATCAGTGATCCAGAAGAGCTTTGGAGTGACTACGGTATCCGCAGCCTGAGCAAGAAAGACGAGTTCTACGGTACTGCCGAGAACTACTGGAGGAGCCCGATCTGGATGCCCATCAACTATTTAGTGGTCAAGAATCTTTATGTGAGTAGAGCATCATTGAAATATCGGTTCGTACAGATAGACTGACTGTGCCAACTAGGACATTGCAACAACGTCTGGTCCTCATCAAGAACAGGCCCGCGAGATGTACTCGAGCTTGCGGAAAAACTTGGTCGAAAACGTCTTCAGACAATGGAAGGAGACGGGATTTGCCTGGGAACAGTACAACCCTGAAACCGGAAAGGGGCAGCGGACGCAACACTTCACAGGGTGGACCAGCATGGTAGTGAAGATCATGTCAATGCCTGACCTGCCTGCCAACAAGCAGAGAGGCCATGACGAGTTGTAGAATTATCAAAGAAGACCCTTGAATTATTGATATACTAGAGGGAATCGAAACACCTGTACACTAACATTTGCCTCCCAGCGCCCAACTCCATGTGCAAAAAATCGTAGATATGATGCAGTCAAAAAACTCACCGGCGTCGATAATGATCGGAGTCATGATCCCTTGGATGTCTTCGACGATGGTCTTCTCTGTGTCTGCGGTGACCATCTTCCCCAGCCCTTACTCTGCTCGTGGACCGCGAACTCGTTCGCCTCCTCCGGCGTTCGCGATCACGAGACCGGGATCTCGATCGGTGACGGTGGCTTCGATGATGACGTTCGCGCTCGTCGTGATGCCTGTGGTGTCTGTGGTCTCTGTCTCTGTCTCTTTCTCTGTTGCTCTCGCGATCCCGCATACGATGCCTTCCTGGACTCCGACTCCGCTCACTTCTCCGTTCTCTCTTCCCATCCGCTGGGTCCTGGACCGCAGTCTCCGTCTCCCTTTCGCCTAGAGGTGTAAGATTTGCATTGGCATTCCCACTCGACGCTGGTAGGGGTAGGCCCAAGGCTCGAGCCATGGCTTCTTCCTCCGCTTGTTTGACCCGTTGTAGCTCCTCACGATCCCTCCGAGCCTGCTCTTCCGCAGTTGTCTCGCCCTTAGCATACCATTGTAGATCACGACCTTGTTGCCAGCGACCGACGGGGGCCATAAGAGAATGGCCTAGGTAATTCTCGCGATGTGTCGAGTCCTTCACATCAGACCATTTAAACTCGCCGCGGCCGCCGCTGTTATAGTCAATATCCATAGAGTAAATGCAGGGGTAATGAGATTTCAGGAAGCGCTTACCGGCTGCCTTCTTTGCGAACACCTGCGACGAGATCCATCCTGGCTTTATGTTCGCAGAAGCTCGGTTGTGATTATTGCCAACAGATGGAGACTTTGTGATCAGCTCATTGAAGGGGACACATGGCACGTGCGCATATACGCCTGAGGCATCTATAGATATTGTCTGACCTCATTGATTAACACAGTGGACGAGGTATATCGTTTAGCAACCAAGTCCATTCCATAAGGTGGGTTTAGACGATATCGCTCTCTACAATCAAGATATGCCTCAAATCCATCTATTTGATGTATTAATGCGATATAACCGGGCGGTTCGGTGACGTTGTTTCAGTCTGGTACATATGCCCCTCATATTAATGGCTTGACAATACTATCATCTCTCCTCCGCTCCTTACCGTCTTGAGTCATCCACTTTGCTTCCGTGTCTAAGGAGCTCGGTAGAATTGCGAAGCTCTTTTCCTGACACTGCTGTCAGTGAAAGCCACTGTAATATGACAAGTATGGCGTCTCGCAGCGGTCCTGACGGAGAACCTTCGGGACCGAGGTTTCGCCCAAGAGACGGCCTGCATCTCCGACCGTTGAATGTTGAAAAGGGATCACACAGGGTGTGTAGCGCAGTTGCTCCTGGATTGATACTGGCTGACTACTTTCCTTAGTTTCCTGTGTATGTGCAGCATCTGCTCTATTTCGAGAGTCTCTGGATGACACTGACGCTGTCGCAGGACGGACTCTATACCTCCCCAGACCGCAACTTGGCGGAACAATTTGGTTAGTTAAATTCATTTCCTGTACGTTCTGTAGGAATTCCATGCTGATATATCTATAGACCGCACTTTCTCAGCGTCGTAACTTGCTGTTCGTGGCCTACAGCCATCAAATCTATGTATGGGAGCCTGCTGGCTCGTTTCAGATGCTTGGCTCCCAGCCTGAAATGATCATTACTCCAGTTATGAAGGAGCCCCATAGCAGTGGTTATATATCGCCAAGCTTTCCTCATGCCATTAATAACCTTCTCGTGGATGATCTCGGTCGCGAG